TTACAGGAGAAGAAGCTGAGGCCCCAAGAGGGATCATCAGATCACAGACTTAGCACTGGGAAGGACCTTAAGGGTCTCTTTAGTGCAACCCTATCATTTAGAGATGAGGAAACCAACGCCCAGGGAGGTAAGGCCTCTATCCAAAGTCTCACAGCTAGTAGGTGAGAAGGCCAGGATTTGAACCTGGGTCCTGGGAGTCCAGAGCCGGCACTCTTTTCACTTAACCACACAATCCCCTCTATTTTTAGATAAGGGAACTGAGGTCCCTAGCAGAGAAGTGACTTGTCCAAGGACACAGGGGCCAAGAGAGGCAGAGCTGGGGCTTGAAACTGAGCCTTCTGATTCTGAAGCTAGCATTCTTTCTACTGCTCTATGTGAAACTTGCCCTACTGAGCTCTTCCCCCTGAGCTCCCTGTAAGCTGAGTCTTTGGCCCTGGCTTGGGAATCAGAAGACCTTCTTTGTCATGTTCTGACATAACTTACTATGGGGTGTTGTGCAAGGCCCTTTGCTTCTCTGAGCCTCAGTTTCCTCATCTATAAAATGGAGATGTTGACAAAGATGATCTCTAAATTCCCTTTCAGTTCTAGCGTGATAAGATTCTAGCCTTTTGCTGTCATAGCATTTGACCAAGAGTAAACTCTCTACCACCTCAGGATGGGCCCAGGAGGGCAAATGTTAACAATTGCGGTGGTGGATGAAGGTAAAATGTTGCCCTTGGGTTAAACAATGGCTTTGGAAGATGTAAATGGGAAAGGCTTGGCTAGAGATAGTTGCCTGTAGAAGATCTGGGGATGTGAGCGGACAGCAACCTTGTTGGGATGTGGTAGCCAAGAAAACACCCCGATCTTGGGCTGCATTGAGAGCCCAGCCCAACTGCATTCAGCCCAGATTGGGCCACATCTAAAGTTTTGTCTTTAGTTCTGGGCACCAGTGTTTAGGCAGGATGCTGATAGACTGGGCAGCCACCAGGATGGTGAAAGGATGTGAATCCATGTGCCATGATGTATGAGTATTGTTTGAAAGAGCTGGAAATGGTAAAAATGTGAAGGCTCAGAAGGAACATGATAGGCATGTCCCTGTATCTGAAGGGCATCACCTGGGGGAAAGATGAGCTTTATTCTGTCTGGCCTCAGAGGGGAGAACCCTCCAGGAGCAATGGAAGGGGTAGGGGAGGTAGGGGTGGGGAGAATGGTAAAGAGACCAATTTAGGTTGGATTTCATGGAAAACTTCCTAACAACTAGGGCTGGCCACCAATGGGATGAGCCGCCTCACTGGTAGTGGATACCCTATCACCAGAGTTCTTCAAACAGCTGCCTGTTGACCACTCCTCACACATATCATAAGGAAGTTTCCATTTTAGGTCTGAGTTGTAGTAGCTGGACAGTTAGGTTCCTTTCAAGGATGGAAGGAAACGAGCATTCATTAAGTGCCTACTGTGTGTGAAACCTTGGACTAAGTGCTGGGGATTCTAATACAAGTAGAAAGACAATTCTTGAGGTTATTTGTTGTTCTTCGGTTGTTTCAGTCATGTCCAACTCTCTGTGACCCCATTTGGGGTTTTCCTGGCAAAGGTACTGGAGTGGTTTGCTATTTCCTTCTCCAGCTCATTTTACAGATGAAGAAACTGAGGCTAACAGGGCTAAGCGACTTGCCCAGGGTCACACAGCTGGGAAGTGTCTAAGGTTGGATTCAAACTCAGGAAGATGAGTTTTCCTGACTCTAAGCCCAGCGCTTCTTTCCGCTGCATCACCTAGCTACCCTAAGAACCTGACATTCTAGTGATTTTGTGATTCTACAAAAGGTGATGGTAAGGATGGTGAATCCAAAGCAAAGATGGCTAAGCACTGACCAGAGTGATATTGTAACCCTCATCCCTTGTCTCCCTCTCCTTCTGTGTCTGTTTATCCCTCTGTCTCTCTGCCTCTGCCTCTGTCTCTCCCATTTAAAGGTCTGGGATTGGCGTAAACCACTGTGCCCATAGTGGAATCAATGAAACTGCAGAGCTAGGCTCTCTCACCACCCATTTCTACAGCTCTATTCATGCTCCAAAGAGAGTTTACTAAATACCCCCTATGTATAGGCCACTGTGCTGGGTGCTGGGGAAATGAAGCCAAAGATGGAAAACAGTTCTAGACAAGGATATACTAGATAATTTTGGAAGAGAGAAAACTCAGGTAATGGGAGAGATCTGGGAAGGCATCATGTAAGAAGGGGCACCTCAATGGGGCTCCACAGGATGCTAACCACTCCAGGTGGCAAAGATGAAGAGGGGGAACATCCCAGGCGGGTGTGGGGACAGTAGCATGGAGTTCTGAATTTAGGAAGTTTGGAAGGAGGAGAAGAGGGATAGTATTGGGCGTCATTCTGGGGATTTAAGGACAAGATTGCATTAGGGGCTTCAGCTGTTGGCAACTACTGGAGTACTCGCTGTGTGTCCACCCTTTGTGGGGCTGAGATGCACTAGGACCTCATGGTGGGAAGGACTGGGTCTGAGTCCTGACTTTAACAATTATTACCTGGGTGACTTTGTGAAAGTCGTTTCTCTCTTAACCTCAATTGGCAAATCTAAAAATTAGTGCTCATTATGTTCGT